CACCGATCGCAGTGCGCAGAGAGCTCGAGCAGTAACAGAGTCACGGTGTGGCACCGATCACGATACCCACACAGTGACAAATTCTGTGCCGCAACGATCGCAGTACCAGGAGTGCTCGACCGCTGACAGTCACGGTGTGCCACCGATCGCAGTACCCAGAGAGCTCGACGGATGACGGCGCCATCTTGTGGCGACGATGAGAGTGCCTAGGGAGCTCAGGAAGCGACAGAGTCTCTTCGCGCCAGCGATCCTAGTTCCCAGAGAGCTCAGGCAGGGACAGGGCAAGGCGCGCGAACGAGCGACGCGCGAGCTCAGGCATAGACAGAGACAGCGACATCGCGCGGATAGGAGAGAGCTGAGTCAGCGATTCGATGGGCGGATCCGCACCTCATCCAGACTTCGCTCCGCCTCCTCCTGCCCACGGTTCCAGGCTCTACTTAAGTGGTAGTGGGGTTGAACCCCTTTGCCACCGGCGCCCGGGGAATCAGCAGGACTCTCAGAGGCCAGAGCGCGGTAAGTCAGGAGCGACGGAGCGGAGTCAGCGGGAGCAGCAGGCGGTGGCCTCGGTGCCGCACAGAAACCGAAACCACGGTGGCGACCCCACTGTGCGAAAGCGTCCCCACCGCTGCGTGATCCGAGGGGCTGCCGGGGTGGCGGGCTTCGAAGCGAGATGGCCAGGCGGCGGTGCGCTGCTCCGTCCCACCCATTCCATCCCGCACCACCGTGGAGGGGCTCCGGGGAACGGGAAGCGGCAGGCGGGGGAGCGGTGCGTACAAGAAGAGGTGGTGGCAGGAAGCGGCCGGGAGGAGAAGGGCGATATGAAAGTCGGCGAACGAGGAACTAGGCCAGAGCAGCCCCGCGTTAGAGCTTCCTGGTCCCTTGGCGAGGAGACGCCTCTGGCGCTGCCCGCCCTGGGCACCGCGGCTGCGCTAGGGCTGAGCGGGAGCGCCCGGGAGCGGCTGCCGCGCCCGTCTCCCGACAGCTGCGGCCCGGCATGGCGCCGCAGCCGAGACAACCTTTCCCGCTTTCCGTACGGAATGCACACTTTTGTGACCAGAGCCGACTGTAACGCCTTTGCACGGGTACAGGCCACTACCCCAACCTTTCCTCTTCCCACGCTGCCTCTGCTCCTCTGAAAACTCATGTTGCAAAACACCTTTGTTTCCCTTTGCATTAGCTTCTCCTCTCCTTCCCACGGGATCCTTTCTGTAATCTGCTGATCTGACATAGGTATTTTCTTTGCTATTTCCTAAAGGAAAAAAGAAAAAAAATATCATTCCTTTGTGAAAAGATGCATCAGCTGAAGAACCTGAGCAGAACTGAAAGATTTAGACGGAATGGGTTATGACATTTACAGCAACAGATCTGAGATACCCTGACAGCTTTTGAAACGTCATTTTCACAGGCAATAATTTTGTTATCAGCTGTAGCAATCCTTTTATTTTTCTCCTGTTACTCATTTGGGAATACCAGCTTTGGCTTCTGTTCTTTATTCCTTTCCGTTAAGAACTGATAATTCAGTGGCCACAAGGTTTGCTACTTGTAAACATGCTCACTTTCTCTAATTAAAGTTTGTAGCACCTCTTAAGAGGAGGGAGCATCATTAATGGGAGCATCATTAGACTACAAAAGGCTACAATCGATATTTTTTCATATTACTGTACTGATGTGCTCAGCGCTCCTCCTTCACCGTGCAGGTCACATCAGATCATTTACAAATTGTTAAAACTGAGCAATGTTTGAACAGTGATTAGGAATATGACTCGATGACCTAGTGTTCAGGTTATGATTCTTGTGATTTATATGTCCTTTAGGAGTTACAGAAGAGGACATAACCATGGTGTTAAAAAGAAAAATGCCACAAACCCACTTAGTGCATGTCCATCCTTTTCTAAAGAACACCAGTCATACTGGTGGACAGAAATTCCTCTCTTCTAGCAACTGGTATTCAAAATTTTCATAATACATGTTGGTACTTGGTAAATATGAACCCAACCAAATACAAATGTTCAGAATAGTATATGGAAAAAACTGCTTTATAATTAATCAAATATATAGATGAGGGCTTCTTCACAGAACGTAAATTAACCACTAGAAGAATGCATAGCTTCTGTAAGGGTTGACTAAATTAAGCTACAAAATTTCTGTTCTCTAAACCACAGATACATAATGCATGAATTGGTGTGGCCTAAGTACTAAGGGTACATATAAATTACCCTGTATCTCAATAAGAAGCAGTAAGGTTGGAATGAAACAGTCTTTGAGCTTCTGTCCTTGTTTTTTTATCTTCTGACAATTCAAGGTATCATAAGCCAATATCATGTTAAATAGTAAAGCAGAATAAGTAGTCTTTGCTTAAAAAAAGCATGGCTAGACATTATTTTCCTGTGATATTCATTCTACAAAAAAAACCCCAAAAGCTTTGGGTTTGAAATAAGTCATTAGATCAGAGAGCTTCTTACTTACCATTACTTAATAAGAACAGCCAGAAAAGCATGCCCAAGGGGGACACTTCCTTCCCACCTAATAAGACAAGTCCCTCTTCTTGAATGTTACCCAACTCACTTCAGCAGATACATTATGATTTTAAAAGTTATTACTTCTTTTGAATTTCCAAGACTTCTGGTTATAGTGACTATAGTGGCTTGGTAGCAACAGGTAATTAACACTGTAAATAGGAACAAGGTTCTGTATTTGATGCAGTTTTGGGAAGTGATTTTTTTTTTTGCCAGGTTATATGGTATTGAATGCTAGTCCCAAGCTATCAGTGGTATTAATGCAACTTTTGAGATTCAGCATTCAAAAATATACATCTACTTTGCACTCACAAGAAAAGCATATGCAAGTCTTATAATTACTACCTAGATACATAATTGCTGTTAGCATGGAAAAATTAATATACATAAGTGACTTCAAACCAATTCTTGGAAGGGAGACCAAGATAAAGAAACAAGATGTCAGTTTATGCCATGTTTGTCTCTCGTTACTGAATTTAGGCCCTTTTACATGTGACATCCACCCGATCAACACAAAATTCAGTATGACCATGTGAACAAATCCAGAGAACCATCACCAGAAACTTCCAGGGAGATGAAAGCTCAGCTATGAAAGCTGCAATGGCACTGCTATGAGTAATTTGTTACCTGCTATTTAATTGGCTGTAAAGGAATTAAAAAACCAAAATAAAACAACTCCCAAACAAACAAAAACACCACAAAAAAAACCAAAAGCAAACAACCACCAAAAAGAAAAACTACCACAACAAAGTAAGAAAAATTTCCTCTAATCATTATTAATCATAGCAGGACTTCCCTTCTTACTAAATGAATGCAGCCATATCCTCAGGCCTGTGCTCATAATGCTGGCTAGCACTGCAGCAAAACAAAGTCTGCATCTTTTTGAAGTCTGTAAAGACAAAGCAGAAAACTCTGAAGAGAGGACACTGCTCTGGGTGTAGGAAGGTTGTTCTCTCTCTGTACTACAACAGCCCGTAGAGTCTCTATATGTACTTGGAAGAGAAGGCTCTTGCTCTATCTTTTCTACAGGCATAATTTATTTTTTTTTTTAATTAACTTATTCTTCCTGTTTTGGTTTGTCAGTATTGAACTGATAAGACCATTTCCAACTCGGCACTGAAATAGCTCTCTTCCCTTAGGTATCTAGTTTCCACACAGACTAACTCCCTAATTCCTAGGCTCCCTAAAGAGCCTGTGGTAATGAGGCAGTCAAAATTAGGCTGCAGTTGATGTTCACAACATTAAGGGATCTTTTCAATTAGAGATTGGATGATACAGGTGCACAGTAGTTTACAGGAGTTAGCAGTCATTTGTTGGTCTGGAAAAACTTGGGAGTCCCTTTGCTACATAATTTAGAGCTCTTGGTAACCCAAACAAGCCAATCAACAGTTGCTGATAGCGGCACTTAGAGGTAGTGCCTTTCTCCCAGTTCTGTCTGTTGTAGTTACCCAAGATGAGTGGAAAATGAACAGCCCTACCAGTCTCTTGAGCTTTGTCTTTTCTCAGCAAACTCTTTCTTTACTTGATGTAAGGTGCTTAAGTTAAAAACTTAGTGAGGGGAAAAAGAAACCAGAGCTTGTTGGCTTGCACCAGTGCTAGCAAAGCAGCTTGCTGGCACGTGCTGAAGGCAGGGGCTGGGAAACATATTAGGCAAGAGAGTACCACAGCTTTATCAAAGGATCAAAATTATTCTGGCACCCCCTGGTGTTTATTTATCTATTATCTATCCATTTCATAGGATCCCCCAAACTCTTTTTCTCTTAATGAACTTAAGAGTTACTACAAGCCTTCATATTTTCTTTGTTCCTCTTCCTTTTAATGGGCAGGGGAGAAATTGCCATACATATTCCTTCCTAGCCCTTGTCTCCTTGAGTTCGTGTGCAAGTAAGTTTCCCATAGAAGCTGAGTCCTTCATTTCACCCTCCAGAGGAACCTTTTATTTAGTTGTTTGATTTAAGCTTTAAGCAAACCCTTTAGAGCTAGGTTTGCAAAGATGCCTCAAAGGTAGCTTAAGAGTTATATAAGAATCTGGGCACTTGACAGGCCCATGTTCAGGCAAATCAGAAAACAAGATATCTATCAGAATCATTCGGCACTACCTGCCTTTGGAACCGTGGCTCTTGATTTTTCTGGGATTTGGATTTTACACATATGAAGTGTAGGGACAGTACCAATCTATCGCATGTTGTATAGATGAAAACTATTTATCAACAGCACCTTGAGATCCTCAGGTGAAGAAATCAACTGCAGTAGTTTTACATCTGCTGAATATAACTGTAGTGGGTTGACAGGATAAATCACTGTGATCTTTATGTCTGATTCTGTGAGAACCACAGCACTTTTGGTTTCCAGCTGAGCGTTCATAAGGGTCATGAGAGTTTATGTTTCTGTCCCACTCCTTAAATGTACACTTATTTAGTGGAACAGCGAAATGCTTTCAATGACACTTCTTTTTCCTCCTTTATACTACAGGTCCAGAAGCACGAGGGTGCTTGATTTTGTTTTAATTGCTAAGCCACAAAGACTGCAGCCATGTCTCTGGAAGACATCCACATGAATACCAAGGATTTGCTTGAAAAAAAACAATTAGATGCTGGAGGATTTGGAACAATTTCTTTATGCTTTCACAAGAAACATGGATATGTAGTATTAAAAAAAGTGTATACAGGACCACAGCGCACTGAGTAAGTTACAGATCTCAGTTCTGATTTTCATTTCAGTTAGTGTAAGTCCTCTAAATTCAATTAAGATAAACCTAAATGAAGTGCAATAATTTCAGGTCTTTGGATTCTGGAGATACTTTATGTGGGGAAAAGAAAACAATGCTAACAGCTGTCCTGCAAATTTTCTTTTTTTTTCTCTCTTGAGACAACTTTTTTAGTTTTAACTCATAGTTTAGTGAAGTTCCTGGTTTTTGTTACAAAGTGAGCACTATCATGAATAGTTAAGAATCAAGAGGATTCTTGCATACTTAAGGAAATGCAGGAACTCAGTGGTCACACAATATTTTCAAACTTGCAGATATGTTTTCAATTAAATTATCCAACTGTAGATGTCCACTAGGTACTAAACGCACATAAATTATCAGCAGGACTTCAAACTCGTGTGTTAGTACCATGAATGTAACCCTCTCTCCCTTGAGAAAGAGCAAAGTGAGCCAAGCCCACTGATTTAATTCAAAGATTGAATTAGTGGATTCAGGTTACATTGCAGCTCTACTACCTCACAGCTATAACAATCCTAAAACTCTCCCATGAGTCATCCACTAAAGAAAGACAAAATTCCATGTTTTTTCTACTTTGGATTATGATAAATAAATTAACCGAGTTTTTACTTTGCTGGTGGAAAGCAAATTAAGAGATTCTAGTAGTTTGCAGCCTGCAATGACAATTTGGGATGACTACAGTTAAAATGGACAAGCCTGTCCTGTCAAGTATTTTTGGGTTTGTGTTTTTATTTTTTCATTACACAAGCTCATAGTTCTGTTATTTCTTAAAATATTGAACCAAAAGTCTCTAGCAAATTTTTAACTGATCCTAATGCAAACAAAACAACCAGTTTCTTCTCTAGTAATATGGGGGAACACAGATGGAGAAAGCAGTTTCCTTTTAAGTCAGAGGGTAGGAAAGCATTAGCAAGCAGTATAGTTTCAAGATTTTCTTACATCATTTTGTCTGATGACTAGAACAGGAACAATAATAAAAACACTACCCCTTCTATTCATTATGTAATAGATACTATCCTTTTTTAAGTCCCTTAGTGAGCTCTCAGCTATGTACCTGTGATTATTGATGGGTTGTACTGAGGCCGAGGTAAAGAGTTAAGGCTTTTAATTCATCCTAAACCAGTAATTGTTAGCAAATGCTGTCATCATTTAGTATGTATGTGGTTCTCTTGTAAGAAATCAATTTTGAACGTGAAGCTCTTTGGAAACAAGACCTCTATAAATAGTTTCCTGTACAAGAAGTAGTGGAGTGGAACTTGATCCTCCTTGTTCCAAGGCTCTTTCACCTCTGCCCAGATCTCACCCCACTTTAAAGATTTGGATATCCACAGCTACCTACAAGAAGAATGCTTATGCAGTTTCTGAAAAGCAGGCCTTAAAATCAGACTGAGCAGACAGTCTCTGTGTAAGGCATTTGAGCAGCATCTTAGAGAACATGGCATGAACAATTCTGTATAAATTCAAAATCAGCTGAAAGTATGGTTAATCTTGCAGGGGTTTCTAAGGGCGTTGACATTTTTGGCCATGGTTTTCATCATGAATCAGTGTAATTTTCATCCCTTTGTTATTTCTAGGCTGGCACCTAAATTCAGCGTAATTTTTATTTTACAGGTACAATGTTTCCCTTCTCGAAGAAGGCAAGATTATGCGCAGACTGCAGCATGACCGTGTGGTAAAGCTACTCGGTGTCATTTTGGAAGATGGAAACTATTCACTTGTGATGGAGTATGTGGACCGGGGGAACATGATGAAAGTGCTACAGAATGTGAGCAGTTAATTATTTTATCCCTTAGGGTTAGTGAGCTGCTTGAAAGGGACAGGATGTTACTGCCATATCCAGAGAATGGAGTCTTTAATTTAATATTCTTCTTTTTGTATTAAAAAGCCAGTGGCAGCACTGCCTTCTCTAGAGACAGCAGACAGTGACAATGGTTTTCCTGTGCATCACAGAGGAGCAGACCAATTAGAGATTAAAAAGGTGTAGAAGTGGCTGTAGAAATATGTAGAGAATTTGATAAATATGTAGCAAATATTTGTAAATATGGAGTGAGTCTAGAGTTATTTTAATGCCAAAATTTTGATCCAAGTACCATACAATAGAATATACCCAGTTGGAAGGAACCTTGAAAGATCAAGTTCAGCTTGCACAGGACACCCCCAAAAATCCACAACAACCACTCTCTGGGTGAAGAATCTTCTCCTAATATCCAAACTAAACCTTGCCTAATCTAGCTTCATGCCATTCTGACAGGCCCTATCACTGACCACCAGAGAGAAATGATCAGTGCCAGTCCCTCTGCTTCCCATCATGAAAAAGCTGTAGACCATGATGGGGTATTCCCTCAGTCTCCTCCAGGCTGAACACAACAAGTGACCTCAGCCCTTCCTCATATGGCTTCCCCTCAGATTTTTCACCATCTTTGTGCCTTCCTTTTGAGACTCTCTTATGGCTTTACATCCTTCTTAAATCGTGGCCAAAATTGCACACAATATTCAAGGTCAGGCCATACCAGTGCGGAGTACAGTGTGACAACCACCTCCCTCAACCCACTGGTGATGCAAGTTTTTCTTACCATAGCTTAAGCAGAGGTACTCTTGGGACTGAGGAACTTTTTTTAAAGACTGAATTTTAATTTGATTGTTGTAGTTGCATTTTTTAATAGATGGCACTTCTTGTTCTTTCTTTTAGCTCTCGCTACCTTTGTCAGTGAGAGGGCGTTTCGTGCTGGAGATCACAGAAGGAATGCTTTATCTGCATGAGCAAGGCTTTGTGCACAAAGACCTAAAACCAGAAAACATCCTTGTGGACAGAGACTTCCACATTAAGGTACTTGTTAGAATGTGAATGGAGAAGGCTGAGTGATTTGGGTTGAAAAATCCATTTCAGCCATGCAGTTAGAGTTCCTAACTTGGTGGAATTGGTAGATTAATGCCTTTGTAATTTAGTAATCTATCACTAGGAGAGTGTTAGCCCTGGACTGCTGAATTATGGTGGTCTATACAACCTCTGAGTCTGAGATTTGCACAGTATTCCTCCAACTGTGAGGAAAAAAATCACTAAGGGCATTAAAAATATTTTTGAGAATTAACAAGTATTAAATAACAAAACAATTAGAAAGATGAAACAAATGTTAATACAGAATTTGAAAAAAAAATAGAATGTTTTATGGATAATGTTTTTTGTCCTTTATTACGGTAATTTCTCCTCCTGCCTTCACTTCCTTTTATTATTCCTTTCCTTCTTTTGCCTGTTGTCTTCTCTTCTTTTGCACCCCTCTTTTCCCTTAGTCATCATTTAAAAATGGCATCCAGGAGCTACAAAAAAACTCCATCAGGACACTACTTCAAAGAATGGTTTATAAGCCTATTCCAAAGCCCTTCTATTAACTTTAGCGGGGTTTTGGATCAAGACACATAGATATAGAGGCTACTGTGGAATAAACCTGAGGGGAATTTGCAGCAGTCTTCATCAAATATCCTGTCTCTGGTCAAGGTGAGTTGTTGAAATAATCACCCCATTACAGTTTGAAACTATAGAATAAATTTCTGTGAAGAGAACTCTGTCATTTTCTATTTCTCATAGAAACTCAGAAAACTCTGTCATGTTTCTCATTTCTCTCACATAAATTAATGAGAAGTTCTTTGCCAAGGTTAATATAGTAGCAAGTGCAGTATGAACAGCTTGCAGATGAAAATTATAAATTTATTTCTCTTCTAAAAAATAAAAACCCCATCTTGATCTGCTTTAAATGTAAATTATATGAGGAGCTGGGTTTCAGCTCACTTATATGGACAGGACCAAACTAGGCTATCATCACATTTCATGACAAACTGATCTGGAACACGGGATCAAATTCAGAATCAGACAAGGCTTCCTTAAGTACCTTCATCAAAAGTATAATTTAAGGCAGCTGTTGTACAACCTATCTGCTTGAAGGTGTTTAACATTGTCAATAATTGGAAAGGGAAATAGTTGCTCCAGGAAATTGCAAATGTAGTAAAAATTTTATGTCATATCCTTCTCTATCACTAGACCTCCTTTCACTTGTAGACATGAACCTGGACTCCTACTTCCTCAGCAGAATGTCACTTAGATTTTTCTCTGAATACACAACCTCTAAACATAGCCCAAGGCTTCAGAAATTCAAGAGCAACAATAATAGTTAGAGGCGATAAGGGAGAAAAGTGAGTTAGAAGTGAGGCAAGGAGTCACCTCACTTTTATCTGAAGTAATTGAGTTACACAACTCGTTTGACAGCTGCCTATGGCCAAGAGAGAAAGGCCCATTTTCTTTCAGCTTTCCTCTCCTGTTGACATCCTGTTCCCTTGTGTTAGCACTAGTGCTAATCTGAACGCCCTGCTTTGATTTAGGAAGCCAAACCAGCAGATTACCATTTACCTTTTTGGTAGTGCTATCCTGTTGGGAGGCACTTGGTTCAGCAAGCTGCTTGACTGCCTTGCACTAGGTCTTCCTAGGTAAGTGCCAGTGCTGGAACAAGAGAAGCAGAGGGACACATAATAGGAGACTGGGGAAAAGGAAGGAAGGATTACTTTCTTCACCACCAGCCATTAGTCTAGTTGCAAAACTGCACCCTAAAGTTTCAATAATACCACATTTTCAAGCACACAGTACCCAGCTATCCCTGCTTTAACCTGTTCCATGCTATTCTTTTCCACATCTCTGTCGTACATATCACATCATTTTAGAGCCTCTTCTTTTCCTTTTCTGCAGGAAGATCTAAGGTGGTTGAGTTAAATGAAATCTGAATGGAAAGAACAGTGAGGGAGAAGGCATATCTGCCCATCTCATAGATTGATTCTAGGTTTGAATCTGAGATTCTTCTCCTATGAATCTTCTGTTCTCCCATGAGTGCTGCAAGCAGACCTCTAATATGATTGTTGATATGAGTGAAACCAAATTTCTTCTATTCTTACATTGTGCAAGTGTTCCACAATTAATAATAACAGTTCAGCCTAATAGCTCCCAATTGGCAGTGATATTTTATTTAGGACAAAAACCAAACCAACCAAACAAAGAAAAATAAGAAAAAAGTAGAATCGTTTGTTTTCCTTTCTTAAGTTGTATTTTTTCACTATTTAATTTTTAGATAAATTATTAGATTAGTATTAAGACTTGATAAAATTGAGCACTGCATGCAATACTTGTTTATCTCGTCTTCATTACAGCACTAGCTCTGATGTGTTTCATTTTTCAGATTGCAGATCTCGGTGTTGCCTCCTTTAAGAGCTGGAGTAGGCTGACCCAAGAAGAAACTATTCGACAGAAGCAAATGAAGAGCACTTACCAGAACAATGCTGGGACTCTTTTCTACATGGCCCCAGAGCATTTACGCTCTGTTAATACTAAACCAGTAGAGAAATCAGATGTTTACAGCTTTGGCATTGTGATCTGGGCAATTTTTGCTAACAAAGAGCCATACGAAAGTACGTTACTTCTCAAAGGATGCTATCAGAAAAATAAGTTACAAATATTAAGCATTTAACATTATAAAATTGAGATTAGTAGATTGCATCTCCCATGGCCTAGAATAGCACCAGTTTGGCACCTCATGGCCACTGAGAGGAATTAGTTGCATCATTCCTGACTTCTAAGCATGGACAAGAACATCTGAATGAAATGCAGCCATGAGCTGAATCTCCCCACATCTATATGGTGTGGGCACAAACGAGACTTGGTGACAGAAATTAGGCAAACCTCAGGTGGGCCAGGATGGAAATTTTGATGGACACTATTTCCTGAAGTGGACTAGTTAAACATGTAAATGAGAATTATCTCATAGTCAGTTACTGATTCTCAGCTGTGTGGTGCCGTTTCTCAAAATGCACCATTTGGCTTATGTAGAACAATAGGAGTTAACTGTGGAATTCCAGAGTAATATGTTTATAATTTTGAATGGATTTTTTGCTATTTAAATGGCTAAATCTTGCTTATGTGGCCATCTTTGTGTTCCTATTTAGTGCAGAGCTGATGCACCTGAGATGCAGGTTCTAGAGAGCTGTATCTGTAACACTCACACGGCATATGCCTTACATATAAAAGTAAATCCCTTAATCTTAAAATAAATCTCTAATCCGTGTAAGTCAGGGCAGTGGATACCAATTTACTAATATGAAAGATTTGTAGCTGTAACCTGTACCTCTTTGACATCATATTTTACATGTCCACAAACACACAGGGAGGCACTTCATTGTTTTTTATCTATGGAAAGGTAGCAAAACCCATGAGCAGAACCTGATAAGAAATTTTATTTTTCAGATGGTATAAATGAAACCCAGATTTGCTTTGGCATCATTCATGGAAACAGACCAGAAATAAAGGAGATCACTGATAAATGTCCAGTGGAAATTATTGACTTAATGAAGCAATGCTGGGATGAAGATTCAAAGAAACGTCCAACCTTTGCAGGTAAGGCATTACTTTAGGATTCATGTTTGTTTATGTCCATTGATAATTTATAATGCAGCAAAACAAACCTGAGTATTTTCCTCTTGAAATAAGGTGGGGTTTTTTTGAAAACTGAAATAGCAATGCACATGTTCTGTAAAGCATGCTCTCTACCATGACCAAAAATGGGATCTGATCCAGCATTTACAGGTTTGAGAAATCCTAGTAAGTAAATGGATCTAATTAAAACATTTTATCCCTGATCATTTCTTTTCAGCATAGTATAATCTTATTGCTGAAATTGACATAAAAACTAACATCAAGGGATATAGTATATCTTGACCATGACTGAGAAAATATCCTATTCAAAGTACTCTAAATTAAAAAAAAAAACCAAAGGCAAAAAGCTGTCCTAATTATCCTTCCATAAGCAATCTGACTGGCTTTGATAGCTAATCATCCTTTCATATAGTCAGATGGCAAAACACTTCCAATCAGTAGAAGTCTTGGCTGAATGGTCTGGGAAGGAGACTAAGAGCAAGTTAAGTCAAAATTCTATATCTCATTGTCTCTTCTTTCTGCCTCAATACATAGTGCCAAAAAAACCCAAAAAAAAACCCAAACAAACAAAAAAAACCAACAACCGAGAAAACCCTAAAACAACAAAAAGGGGAAAAAACCAAACCAACCCACAACCCCCCCCAATAAATAACAGGAAACTGAGGTTCATATTTAGACAGGAGCATCAACAGCTTCATTTACAGCAGGCATGTACTTAAATACTCAGAGGAAATTTGTATGCCATGAGGAACCCACCCACTATCTCCACATTTAACATATATAATCTGCTAATAGATTAATCTTTTGCTTGTATTGGGTCCTAGCTTTTAATTTTCCCATTTGCAAGTCAAGGAAAGACACTCTCAGCTACTGACCATAGACAGATTTCACCCTAAAAAGCAATGCAACAACAAAAAATCCCTAGAAGTCATTCTGTTCTTGTTACTGTTTAAGACTAAGTGTATCATGTGTACAAATTACAAATGTATGTATACCTATCTTGTTTCTGACATCATAGAAGTCTTAACAATCTTGATGGAAAATAAATTAACAGTACAAGTCACTTTTACTTTCCATTGAAAACCACTTTCATTTAGCTCTTTTATTTTTGCAGAAATCAGTGAAAGATACAAGCCATTTTACTATCAAAATCTAGGAAAAAATATTGAAGAAGATCTGAAGAATTTAAAAGTGAGTAGCTTCTAAGCATTTTAAGGTTCCCTTTCCTTCTTTCCAATCCCAATTATGGTCAGAGTCTGCCATCTCAAGACTGATCTTGCTTGACTAATGTGATTTCCTTCTGTGATAAAATGGCTGGATTTGTGATTGAGGGCAGAGCAGTGCATTCTCAACCTTCAAAAAGTTTTCAACACTCTCTCCCCAACTACTCTTGTATCCAAGTTCAGATGTTGCTGTCTGGAGGAGCAGATGAAAACAGGTTGGATGCTGAGTCCCAGAGGAGGGCAGTTGATGGGTCCTCCTTCATCTGCAGGCCAGAAGCAGCTGCAGGAGTGCAGGGGGCTGGGACCTGACCCGGTTTACTCTTCTGTCAGTGATCTGACTGAAGTGATGGAGCACACGTAAGGTGTGCAGGTGACCAAACTAGAAGGACCAGTGAATGCAGTCACAAGGCTGATAGCTGCAGGCTGGAGGAATGTGGTGACAGAACCTTGTGAAATTCAGAAAGCACAAGTGGAACATGTTGCACCATGGGATTAAATAGCCCCTGGCTTCAGTGCCAACCAGGAGCTGCCCAGCCAGGGAGCAGCAGTGCCAAGAAAAATCTCAGGGTGGTGGAGAGCAGTGACCTGGGCACCAGCCTGCCTGGCACCCAGCAGTGTCACAGGCAGCAGATCTGCTCAGACCTTGTTAGTCCTGATAGAAGATGGGGCTACTTCAGCCCAGGCATGCAATGGCCTTGGAGGACAAAGAAATAGCAACCTGCCCCTATGTGTCAGGAGTTTGAAAGATAGAGCCAAGCTCTTCACAGCAGCACATCGTGTGAGGACTAGAGAAAAAAAAAGACAATACAGAAACAAATACAGTAAATGTTAACAAAAAAACAAACAAACAACCCAGAGTTTGAAAAATGAAACTGATGAAACAGATTTCTTGCACTGATCTGGTCAAACTCAACATGAACTGTATATATGTATAACTTATGACAGCAGCCCCAAATCAGGATCACGGCAAATTTTACTAGATGGATCAGTTCTCTGCAGATGCACTTCTCATATCATAGGGACAAAATGACTATTTAGGAAATGGGCTGTGATTTTATTACTTTCTCAGGAAGGCAAGCATCCATTACAGTCAGAGCACAGATTGTGAAGAGTAGATCCAAGGCAAGTCACTATGTGAATCACTAGTACAGCTTCAGTAGCAACATGACTTAGAGGGTTTGGGCATAACTTCCCTGCTGCCTGCCCAGCAATCAAGCAAGCCTCCTAACTAAAAATGATCATAGAATCACAGAATGGTTAAGGTTGAAAGGGACCAGAAGTCATTTGGTTCAACCCCCCTGTTCAAACAATTCCATTACTCAATTAAAATCTGAGGACCTACAGTTGTAATGTGTATTAGAATGTCACCTGTTTTTGAAGGGATGTCAATTTTTTGGGAAGAGATAGGTAGGAATTGTTGATTTTTAATCTGCGAAATTAGTTCCTGGGTTTAATGAATTTTTTAAAAAACACACTAACACAAACTCTACTTTTGGAAATTATTTTATAAGTAAGCAACACTTGGAAAAGTTGAGAAGTAATTTTTCCAGGTTAAAAAAAATTACTTCCAGTAAAGCCTGAATAATGGGAACATCAAAGGAGTAGAACAGGAGTAGATTTTGCCTTTACTCTAGTTAAGTGAGGATGAGGGTTATAGAAAGGAAATTGCACTGCTTTTTTCTGAAAATTTCCTCTAAACTCCTCGTTTCTAATCATCTTCATCAAAGTCAGTGTGCCTATACCTGAATGTTAACTGTTTCTCACCTCTTCTTCCCTGTTGATGAATGAACTTATTAAATATAGATCCACAGAATAGGATGCATGTTTGCTATCTTTACCTCAGCAGCATACCCTCACTGAGATTGCTTGCCAGAAGTCTGGCTATTAAATACAAGTCAGACAATCCAGAACCACTCTGGATTAAGCTCACATTCATGTAAGCAAGGGTATTGTTTGGCCAACTCAGAGTATGATGCACTGCAGTTACATTGCAGTCCTCCCTCCCTAAATTGAAGAAAACATTTTCCCACGTGTAGCAAAGCAATGGGTATTTCCTGTCAGGCTCTCTGAAAGAGTATGGGATCTTTTCCCAGAGATTCACAGAATCTGTTCATCCAGGTCACTTCACAATGAAGCTGTGCTATTTCATAATCTACAAGTACTCGCTTTGTTTAAGCTTTTGCCTATATTTTGACAATTTGTTTTTTCTCACATGCAGAAAATGTGGCCCGAGTCAAATGAACTGCTGCCTAGCATGGAATCCCTTCAAATAGATGCTGTACCAGAAGATACCAGCAATGGTCAAGTAGGTAAGTCACTACCATATAATTATTCTGTGTATTTGCCAAAGATGCAGTTGTGTACAAAGCAAGTAACCTCAGCATTAAGGGTTATTAAGCGACTCAATTATTCAGCACCTCAGAAAGAATTGTAATAACTGAGATGATATTTGCTCCCAGAAGTCACACTTACAATTTCAAATTTTCCATCATCTACAGTTCAAACCCATCAACTTTTACACTCTTCTGCTTTCCTCTTCCATGCCAAAAACCTTGTTCAACATTAAACTTTACAATGGTCACTTTGATAATTACTTTTCATACTTGATCTTTCTTCTCTTTCTAGTCATGCCAACTGCTTGGTTTGTAAGCTTTAATTTCATTAAGACTTTTCTTTTTCCCCTGCCATGCTTTCTTATGAATGCTCTGAATATGACCAAGATACATAATTGTAAAGTATTCCTTTGTTTAGGACCTTGCTCTCTAAGGAATCTAAGGAACACTAGTAGAGAGTTTTTTATCTGTTTTCTCTCATAACTTCCATCAAATCTTGGATGAGTTGCGTGTTTTGTGATTTTTATAGAGCTGGCTCTCCAATATGTGATAATGTATCTAATATGATAGAGTTTTGTAGCAGTGTATCTAGAATTCTCTTACCAAAGTTTTTTAATGTCAAGGGACACAGGATCTTATTTGCAACACTGATTTACAAGAAATAGTAAAAAATCCAGTAAAAATAAAATTCTGCTGAGTTATCTAAGACATGATTAAATTAATAATGTTAAACTGTAACATGCAACTAATAAATCTTCCCCAAAGCTAGGTTTGCCACAACTATTCCTCAGTAGAACTTATGGACTTAGGGCAGCCCCACTGCTTTATTTTTAAGTGAGTGTAGTTACACTTCCTAAGCAGAAAGAATCGTGTATGACTGCTGCAGATTGCAGATGCTCTCAAGTTTTAAGTACAAAAGACTTTGTTGTGAATGTGCACTGCAGAAAAATGCCATCTTGCCAGCCTGTCAGTAAAAGGCAGGAGTTTTTCTCTAGTCAGTGGGCATCACTCAGAGAGTGGTAGTGAAAGGCATCTCATAGGATCTTCATATATCTCAAGCTTGCCCTGGAGAATAGATGCCATATAGTTTATGCCAATACTGAATTTCTAAGAGCTGTCACTTAGGATGGGGTTATTTCTGTATTAGCCATTCCTCCCACTCCCTCCCTAGCAGTGGTAGTAAAACAAGCAGAGCAAGTCCGACTCAAGGTGTACTAATATACAGCCATCCAAAGGAATTTGTTTTGGTCCTGCCTAATATGGGCTGAAATAATGTAATTTGAGGGGGAAAAACCCAGCTCACTGACATTGTCTGAGCTAAATAGAAGCACATACATGCGCTCTATTTCAGTTTTATAGTGCTCTGTAAGTTCCCTTGCTTCAAGCAATGTATGATATTTTCTAGAAAAGTGTGAAGCTTCCAGAACTTTCAACAAAGCATCTGTAATCCTACTCTTAAAAATCTAAGTACAAGTAGTAACAAACAGATTTTTAAGTTTCTTATTTTGTCTTGGAATGCTACAGCGTCATACAGATTATAACTCCATCTAGTTCAATTCTGAAGTAGAGCTTCCTTTGATACTGAGAATTAGTTTGAAAGACGTAGATGACACAAACTATTTTATCTGGTAGACATTACTTGTAAAAATGTATTCTGTGGGGCCAGAGTATTCAGCATGAAATACCCAGACAGGATACTTTACATTATTTTTAAATAAAATTTTAATGACAAATAATTTGTGCTCTATGAAATTACATCTGTTATTACAGTGACATTATTTTCTATTCTGTTACCCTTCAGTTTTGCACTGATCAAGCTCCAGTTAATGCCAGAGGAGACACACCAGTAAATCAGGCCCCACAAATGCCTCCAGGAATGTTTGTTTCAATGGCTGAAAACTTGATACCAATATAAGCCGAGTACGCAGTGAATTTTCACACTACTCGAGACAGCGAGATTTTTAACACTGATAGCTTAAGCAAACCTGTACTACCTAGATAAAAATCTGTTCTACTTGCCAGTAAACTTGTGTTTTATTTTATAGAATGTCTTATGCTGGAAGTAATGTTTTATTGAAACCTTTTAGATATACAATAATAATAAAGTAGGCTAATAGGTTTTAGTATCATTGCAACAATTTAAATACTTGCGTTTGGATGTTTTCAAATATTTAATGCTCTTCCCTTTCAGATCAGCCTAATTCTCTACACAGCTCTCAAGGTCCCATGGCCAGTGAGGATAATGAAGCCCTGCTTGCTGCCTCCCCTGTGAACCAGCCCATTGAGAGCTGTGAGATTTCATGTGCATCTCTTGATCATCTGGAAAGAAAACTTGAGCACGAATACAACTACCACGCGTTTGGGAGCCGGATGGATAAAGCAGCTCCACCTTCAGCAGAACACTTTTCAGTAGTATTGAGCCCTGGAATCATAGAGGAAAGGAAACTGAAAGTTTTTTCTGATCCGTTTGCAAAGCCTTCTCCTACTTCTCAACGGAGTGAACTGTATCCAAGAGCTGAAAAAGCAGGATCAAACACTAAACCATATTTCCCGGCAAACATTGATCCAAATTTCTGGTCACAGACAGCTGCAACAACACCAAAATGGGGAAATGCAGATACTCTTTACAGGCCCAATCCCAGTAGCCTTCCAGTAGGAAGCCCTGCAGATGCCTATGGATTGTCCTCAGCTGGTAACTTTAGCCTAAGTAAATCTCCTGTGCCAGAATCTGGACAAAACTCACAGCCACAGTCAAACATCAACTGGTATTCAAACAATCCAGACACAGATACAGGTGAGATTCCTCCTTCCCCAACACCTATGTTTCTGAAAACACACTTTTCCTCTATTCAGTGAAGTGGTCAGGAGAGTTCTGTAGTTCATGGAACAACCTTCTTATTGCAGGCTGATCTGTAATATAGCAATGGTGAATTTATCTCATTAAGTTCTCTTTGTTTATTCAAAGTTAAAAGACTCTAGCTTTGACTTCATTATGTGCTATCACTGATGTCAGGCTGCCAATTTCAAATGAACCATTTCTAAAGCGTCAGTGTAACAGAAGAGCATGAGACCCAACATCTGACTCTTCAGCTACTAGCCAAGGAAGAGCAGACAGCAAGTACTGCTAAAGCAGCTCCCAAAACCAGGAGCTGCTACCAGTCGTTCTAGGAAAGGTGAGGAGAACTTTGACTCTCAAAACAGTAACATTCATACCATAGGTTCTGCTTGTGCAGAAACAACACTTACAGCATTTCAGAAAATAGATGGGTATTTTTTAGCTTGACTTGAAGCAAGCTGAGAGACTGCTGAACCTAGGGAGCCAGCAAGGAGCTAAGGCTTGTAACTGGTTCCTCCAGAGAGCTCTGCCTGGTGTTTGCTGGTATGCCATGGAGTAGAAAGGTATGGAAACAAAGAAAGAAGAGAATATTGGGTATTATCAAAACACATAAATAAGTGGTAACTGGAGACCTAAAAGATATAACTTAGAGGAACTAGAGAAAGTATGAGATGCCTGCTCCTACTCTTGAATATTTTTAGCATGGTGTTATTTTCCAGGTCGTCTCACAAGAAAATGAAGGATGCCTAGCTTTTTACAAGCAGAATGACACGAAGATGTTACTCTGTTAAATTATTTATGCAAAGGCTGTGATTAGTTGTTTATGTGAATTTATTTACTGAAATGAATCCAAGGACTGTCATGTCAGAAGACAGGCATTAGAATTTTCAACATCACTAATAAAGAAAAACCTTCTGTTTGAAAGAAATAAAGAAAACAGTTATTTTCAGTTATGTGTGAAATAGCGTAGCAGATACCAGACTGAGGTGCACAGGAGCTGCATTTCAGTTCCTCCCTGACTTGTTGGGTGACTGTAACCCATCTGCTCTTGCTGCCCCAGTATGGGTTGCACAGCTCATCAAGAACTCACACCTGGGAGTTTGGAATTTGTCAGTTTGAATACCTCATACAAGGCAGCTCAGTGTGTAACTACAGTGTGCTGTGATTCCACACTGCCCGATATTCCTACACCCACGTGGAAGCCCATTGTCCTCACTGAGATCCAAGGACGGTTAAGGTTATTAGTAACTCAGCAAAACCACAATAAGATCATTGCTTAAAGAGTTATTCAAGGAGACAATCGTGCTAATTAAAAAGCTTCTCATCTCTGTATTTTAGAGCACTGTATACTTACATTGTTACAAATATGGCAGACATTGTTAAGTATATCTAATTTTCTATTTACAAAATGCTTTTGGCATTTCTTTGGTTTTTTCTCTTTCTACAGGTTACAGGGATTCCACTTCTTTTACAAGGGGAACATTTGCATACTGTCCTAGTACATCCAGAGTAAACCCAGGTAAGTGCTGTGGCCTTCATCTGCCCTGGTAGCCAACAGGCTCTGCATTGCATCTTGACCAGTAAAGCAAAAAACTTCAGGAACTTGAAATAATTTCTGTTATTGCTTAATACCTCTAAGCATACTGAAGTTTTCAGTATCAGCAGATATTAATTTTTGTCTCTAGCAGCGCCTAAACACAAATGTATTTGATAACTCAAGGACAACATATACTTTTATGTAAGAACTTTAAAAATATGACAGCATTTCAAGATCTCCTGTACATCTAAATTAGTCACTTCCCTAGATTAAATTTCAAGTTGCTGTCACTCTGCTCAGCTCTGGAACCACATACACATTTGGGACACTTTGTCCTATCTTGCTCTGGATTTTAATACAAATTTCTAGCTACAGGCTTCATGCTGATCAGCCTTCATTGAGGCACAGGTCTCTACAGTTCTACTGGCTTGAACCCCTAAAATCATGTAATATCCTTCAGGAGTTATTAATATATGCTCCTTTCAAGTTGTGTTGCTTGGGACACTCTGAATTCTTTAATTAACCCTTTCAAAGGCTTATCCAGTTTCTAAGTAGTCTACACTACAAAAATAAACTTGAAAGGGCAGGTTTCTGTATTCTTGACTCTGCACCCCTTAAATGATGTCCCAAACCTTAGAAGTTGCAAAGTGTAAAGGCTTGGGAAAGATTTATAAGCACATTAAGTTTTACTGTTAATACTGTAATATTGACAAAGTATTTCTATACATTTTCATATCTTATCCTAAATTAATTTTGTTGCCAGATAAGAACATAGAAAACAGGAGGTTTATTTATATTTTTAACTACAAATATGATGTATTTCCCGAGTCCTCTGGCTCTTAAAAAAAAAAAAGGATACAGGAATCATAATATTATGAGTAGAAGTAATAATGTTATGAGACATGATAAAATGCATTCCTTTTTTGCAACTTCATCGATCTAAACATGCATACATATATTTCTGACTTGCAATTTCAGGTTAGAATATATTCAAGTGCATTTAGATTTTCATACGTAACTATAGATTTTGACACTTCACATTGCAATTACGTGTGTAACAAGGATGTAACCGTGATTTCAGGTGATTAAATACAGAGCTTGGTATATCAATTTAAGTATTTGTACTTCAATTTTAGACTCAGGTTATGAGATTCGCCGTTTAAGCTAGAGTTAGAATGTTTAATGGATGATTATCCAAGCAGAGTTCAGAAAACACTGTCAAGGGAACAGAAAGCTGACATCACCTAATATGAACAGTGACTTAGCTTCATGCTGTGTGTGGAAATCAGACATCAGTAAACAAAAGATCAAATTATGTGTTTTACTAATCATATCTTATGAGCAACATGAAATGATTTGCTGTAGTCTCACAGAACTCAGAAGTCATAACCGTAAACCTGAACTTAGATATGTGAAAAGTAAAGCTGAGAAGCAGAAGAGAGGCTTTAAGATTTAAACAAAAAAAGTGTTTGAGTCAAGGCTGACCTCCTGAAGCTGTTAGGCAGCAGAAAGGAAGAGTGCTACTATGCGTTCCCAAGGCACACAGAACATTATTTACAGTCTAGTAACTATCAGCTTGGTTGTGGCACTCTGTCATAAAATAGGCTGGGCTTTCACTAAAGTACATTTGTGTCACACTGCACGGTGAAAATACACTCACAGCACAGTTGCCAGTAAATGGCTATTTCGACATCAAGTAGAACATGAATATCACTCCCCTTATTAGTGGAACTTCCTCCTTGTCTTGCTTCCTGACATTTGAACCTTACACTGTTGTTTGTAAATTTGTGTTAAATTTCCTTATACAGACAATTCAATCAAGTACACCATAAGTAACAGCTCTGGAATACAAATTGGATCCTACAATCACATGAAGATTGAAGAGCAGAATCCATATGTTGGCACTTGTCCTGATGCTATGGAAGAAATTTACACACATTATGAAGCAAGGGGTGTATTTGGTAAGAGAAATTTCTCCCTAGTTTTCATGTGTTCACTCCATATAATTATCTGAGAATCATTTGTTTTGGAATATATGAAAAACTCAAACTGGTAGAACAAGGCTAAGATTGGAAATCCTCACCTGACTTCTAGTTTAAATCATAGAATATCCCGAGTTGGAATGGACCCATGCAGATCACAGAGTCCAGTGCCTGACACAATACAGGGAAAACTAAAAGTTAAACCATATATTCAAGAGCCACAACAGCTTCATTCAGAGAGAAGTTGGACAATTTTGAAATGTAATTTATTTTCATTGGTCAATACTGAATTAAACTATCTCTATGAATTCCTAAGTAACATTTGTGTCTCAGAATACAAAGCATATACAACTTTTTAAGGACTCTAGAAAGGGTTTTTTCAGTCTTGCTGGTTTAAGTGACAATCTGTGATAGCTTCAGATCAAAGAGCAAGTCCAGCAACTGAAGTGTGAATCACACGTTCTGCCTGGACATTTCTTGTTCAGTACTTGCCATCACTGGGTTATGCTGCCTCCATGAAATGCACTTCTAATTGCATCACTAAGATTCTGTCTCCAGATATTACCAATAAATAGTTGGGGGAAGACAGAAGAGAGGGAGTGAAAGGAGCAGAAGAACTATTGAGTCATGCAATTTTCTTACACTCTTCTTCTTTTTGCAGACAATACCACAGTCCTGACAGAAAAACATTTGAATCTAGTGAGAGAAAAGCTGGCTAAGCAGTGGAAGCACTGTGCTCGGAAACTGGGCTTCAGTGATCCCGATATTGATGAAATTGATCATGACTACGAACGAGATGGACTAAAAGAAAAAGTTTACCAAATGTTGCACAAGTGGGAAATGAGGGAAGGCTCCAAAGGTGCTACAGTTGGAAAACTTGCCAAGGCCCTCTTTGGCTGCCAAAGACTGGATCTTCTTAAAAGTTTGATGCAAATCCAAGAAGAATAAATTTACTGAGAACAGACTTTCTATAGCTCTCCTTTTTGCACAGACTTTTTGGAACATACTTTTTTCATGAACCAGTTTTCAGTGATTGTTTCCAATTCATAAAGTTCACATCACAATATCTGGTCTTCCAAAGGATAAAAGGAAACTAGCATCTTCCTTCCAAATAGAACAATTGTCCAAAGATAACAACAACAAATGCAAGACAAATATCAAGTCAAGGAGAATGTGTTGCACAAAATCTCTACATTCTAATCTTGAAACGTTAGTAGTCTTGTTCAGTTCTGAAGATTGACCTACTGCTTGAAAAACTTGTATAGAAACCAAAATCAACTCTTACATTTTGCCAGAAGTGCCAATACTTACCATGCCAGTATTTGACTGGTCTAAGTTAATAATATATTTCAAATCTTTTTATAATTTTTATTAAATATAGATGCCTATAATTATGCAGAACAGCAGCATAAATAAAAGATAAACCTATTTCTGGCTTTAAAAGTCTGTAGTTGATATAGTTATAATATTGAATAAGATTTTTACATTGTTTGGTAGAAAAGATTTTACAGGGTAAGAGTCTCATCTGCTTTATGAAATAAGGAAAAAATAAGTTCAATCAGTATGCAATCAAAATTTAAAATGCAAGAATACAAGAGTTGTGAGAGAGGAAAGGTGCTTTATTATCTCTTGGCTGAAGACCCATTCTGACTCTGAGGGCTCAGTGTCACTTCGTTCTGAATTTCCCAGGCTGTATTTATGCTAGTAGGTAAAATGTGTCTGGAAATATTACTGCATGCTGAGGTTAAACTGGCATGCTGCAGCCTGCTGCCAGAATAGCAAATTCTTTACACCTCCAAAATGTTGTGCAAAGACTATTTCACAGTACTCGGGTTCTTTCTGGGGAACACTGGAACAGCTCTGTAGTGTAGGTGATAATATCCCAGTGTCTGGAAATGTTCCTTGTCACTCTGCCTTCCTAATATTGACATAATCCCAGTGTGCAGTATCTATGAAGGAAGAATTACTGGAAGTTTTTTGACTGAAGAATTGTGCCAAACTCTTCTTATGAGGGACGGTACCTCCTGTTCCATCAGATTTGCAGATATTTCAAGCAGATGTTTTGGAACAGGTAATTGTTTAAGTGGTACATAGAGCACTAGATGTTAATTTGTGCTCATAACTATTCATTTTAATTGTCAAATAAAAAGCTAATAACTTAATGGAGTGCAGTTAAAATGGATTCCTACTCCTTGATACAGCATCCATCATTTCAGTGGAAGCAAAATGAAACTAATCAAAGCAAGTATCTGCATATTTGTAATCTTTAAACCCACTTAAAATTTATTGCACTGCCTTACAGTTTTGACTTAGCAACATGCTAAATTTTCTATCAACTCTTGAGTACAATAGAATGACGTGGTTTATCTGTCTAATATAATGTCTTGGGGTGACTTTATTATGCTTGTATCCCCAGTCATCTGTTCTGTTGGTGTTGAATATTGAGTTCTGCAGCTTTAAGACTGGTTCCAGGAGTGAAAGGGGAGAGAAGAGGTGCAGAGTTTGTTATCAGAGACTGCACCTGCTCCCCTGCATCCTTCACACAGACTGTGTTGTCAGCAGTGGACAGCAGGAGAGAGCTCTCCTTTGCTCTGGGTTAGTTTCTGTCTAGCTGAGGCAGAGAAGGTCCCTGGGCTGTGGGGTTTTTTTTCATTTTTCTTGGAATTGTTCAAACCTGCACTGTAACTGTTGCTGCATGATCACTCAGCGGCCCAGATGAGAAAGATTCATCCTTGTTTTAATTGATTGTAGCCATATGGATAGGCATTGTGAGGGAGTGCTTGATTTCCAGGCCAAGAGGCTAATTTCCTTCATGTATGTCATCAGTTCTATAACACATGCACGTGCATACTGGAAGAGCACCGGGAGCTCCCACCTGTGTCCCACCAGGCCTGGCCTAGGCAGTGGCATTTCCCAGCGCCAGAGGGACTGAGAGCAGCCTGAGTGAGCCGGGCTGCAACCTACAGAAGGGACTCTTCTCAATCTGTCATCTCAGAGTGGCAAGAGGTTTTGCTGTTTAGTATTGTTCATTTTTGTGCTGGGAAGTGCTATGCCTGTTAAATAAACAGGTTTTTTTCCACTTCTGTCTGAGGAAATATTTCCCCAAACCAGTTGTGGGAGGGACTGCTTGCATCTGTTTCCTAGAGGAACCCCATCCAGAGGTTTTCTCCCAAATTTGCCCTAAACCAGGACATATAATAAGCATACACTTCGCAGAAAAATTATTCTTTAAGCAGAATGAGAGATGGGGTAGGGGGTGTCTTCTCTGTGTCAGTCCACAGAGCTACAGCCAGCAGCTACTGTATTAGTTCATGAAACAGATCCCTGACAGATCACAAAGTCCATTTAAGTTCTGTTAACTCTGGTTGCACCATATTGCAACATCAATTCCCAAGCCCTCATTGGTTTTTAAAGTCTCCCATATCTGCAGTCTTTATTTAAACAATATGCAATTTTTCAATTGTAAGATCATTGTCTTATTTGGTACACAGAATGAATGATGATCATTTAATGGGCATGCTTTAATAAGGAGAAAATGAAACATTTAATGTAAGTTTGGACCTTACTTTCTGAAACAACAAGAACAGAGATGTAAAGCATGAACATGAAGCATTTTAGAACAAGACTTAGGCATGGGGCAGTCCTAGACCTTTAATGCAGGACACGGAAGATGAAAGTAATTTTAGCTTTGGTGCTTGTCAAGTCCAATTCTAGACTAGTGTTCATAGTTCATGTGATGTTGTAGATGGTACAGAACACAACCAACCAAACTCACCTAGAGACGAACTCCACTACAGCCCTTGTAGAATTCAATCACAGAATGGATTCAGCTTTCTGGGCACAAGGACTAAAGTACTACAAGTCCTTTGGAATATTGTGGAGAACCACATAATAGGACACAATGCCTGGAAGTAGCAGCCAGGATACAAAAATATAATACATATTTAATAATAAGGATGATGAACTACTGGAATAAACTACCTAGGGAGTCTGTGGATCTTATTATCTCTTAATTAAGACTGGTCTTGTTTCTTAAGATGGCTATAATTGAAATCAAAGCTCTAAGTCTCAATACAAGGTTAACTAGGTGAAATGTAAAAGCAAATGGTGTACAAGAGGTCCAAGGAAAAGAGTTAGTGCTCTCCCCGACCTAAAAATTTACATAAAGTATGGAATAGAGAGATAAGCTAATATTAATTTACTGGATTGCTCATTTAATCTACCACCCGTTACCCCTTTCCCCATGCTTGAAAAAAAAAAGAAAAAAAAAATTAAGGGTGGAGCCTATTTTTGAAAAGCGACATTTCATGAGAGATCAAAAATGCAGGAAAATAATGGGGACAAGGATGAAAGAGAGCGATGTATTATGGCATAGATCTGATACCTTTCACGGCAAAACAAAGGAGAGAAAGGACAGTAGAGTAATTTCACATCAAGCTGGCAAGCTATCAGCCTCAAGGGCAGAGGCAGCAGTAATGCAGCAGCCTTACAGAGATTTTTCATAAGATTGGTGCGGTGCAAGACAGGGAGGAGAGGGCTGTGGGTTGAAGCAGCAGATCTCCTTGTGGTCTCTCCTTGAAGAACAGGAGGTGAACTCATCCAGTTATCATAAGGACATTGTTTCCCCATTTTAAGAGACTAAGTGCTTGGAGACTTTAGATCAAATACAACTCAAGTACAACCCCTGCCCAGTAGCTACCCTTGTCACACAGCAGCCAATCTGTGCTGAAACTCTTAAATGCAGAGAGGACTGAGTCCATGTAATTCAGAGCAATTCATTTATTTAATTTTATTACTATGCCCCCACTAGCAGTGTACAAGCAGCTAAGAAATGTGAGGAATTTTTTCTCCTTCCAAAATAGTTGCTAAATAATACCAATTAATAATGCTGAATTAAAAACGCAGAGAGGACATCGTTGCAAGTATTTGGTACGTGACCTCTGAACTGAGCTGGCGACATACAGCTCCTCTTCCTTAGAGGCCAGGTTCCAAGAACAGGCAACACTCAACACTTGGCATCTGACTCATCAAGCAGCTTCAAGTCAACTATGTCAGTTTTCTCTGATAGATTTTTTCAGCACTGTTTGATAACTAATGAAGACCATCTTTCAGCATGGAGGCACATAGGAAATTGAGTAAGAATCCCTAAGCCTCTGAAACATGCTCAGCTATGTACACAGTGAGAAAGAGCCACAGGGAAACAAAGTAGGCAGGATCATCCAGTACAAGCAGGGCCACATTAGAGCTAAGTAGCACTTGGGAGAGCTTTCTTCACGGGATCCTAGTGCCCTCCAGGCATTTTTTTCACCGCAGTCTCTACAGGCTACAGAAAGTGCTCCTTGCAGCATGCTAGCTTTTCCTCCTAGCATACCAATTAGCAGTAAGAGTCAGCCGACCATGCCCATTTGTTCCTTAACACACAAGAACAGCTAGTGAAAGTGCAGCTCCTTAATACAGCCCCTGGGAAAAAGGGAAGGGAGAAGGTAGGATCGGAACAGGCTCTAGGCTGTAGAGACTAGAAATTATCTTTGTGCCAGAGGAAGTATTGCCTATGAGTGAAACAAAGGAGACCAGAGTTCTGACTTATGCTGGGTTTCCCCCTCCTCTGGAACTCTTAAGTAGGTCACTTCCTTTCGTTTTAGCATGGTTTCCTCATGTCTTTGGTACAGACACTAATTTCTGCCAGAACTAACATGTGATCTGATAATAAGCATTGTAGCCTATAGAGCTCAGAGAGATGCTTGATAAGAGCTGCTTGAAACAAAAACTCACACCAGTTTACTCAATAAACCAGTAATACTGCTGGATTTTGAATGATAGGTTGCAACTCCCATGCATCCCACACACACCCCTCTCTCATTAGCTGAGAGACCTAAATGCAGCACTGAAAAGGATGTCTTGGTCACCAGGTTCATCAAAATAGATTTACACAACCCCTTCCATAAACAAATCAAGAACCATCTTCTAAATGTTACCCTTGCCTTCTCCAAGGGACAAGCTGTTTCTTCTTTTGTACCAGAGTGTTTGGAGTAATTTTAAATTTCTGTGTCTAGAATGTCCTAAATATGGTCAGAAATTATACCAAGACTATGCTTGAAATTACAAGATGGAGATTATATTAATCTTTGAAATTATGAGATCGCTTTCCATTGAGGTGCCCAAGTACAGGTGTGTCAGATTTATAATGCAGTTATTCATGAACATACAAAAGATATGCAGACACTGCTTATGTTGACAGACACTATCCTTTGCAGGCAAGCAAAGGAAATCATTACCTATGTGTCTGTGTTTTAGTTTCCTCATCAGTCTGAAATGTTATTTGAGCCAAGGAATCTATGATCTGTTCTGCATATGACAAAGCATGTTTTCCTTTGTGATGTCTGATTGTTCTCAGCTTGGCTAATATTCTAACTAAATAGGCCTCCTGCTACAAAACCACATACTGTTACTCCTCACACTTCACAGCTTCAAGAGTCATGCCATATTCAGTCTTTCTCGTTTGGAAGGTCAATAGCAAGTCACAGAAACATCAGTATTTTCACATCTTTCTTCTGAATTTGGCAATTCTGCACTACCCAAATCTTACCTCTTTGTGGAGCTGAAGCAACAAGATTTTTTTTCTGAGGTGAAAACGCAACAATCAACATTCAAGAGGCACAAGAGCTCAAGCAACAAAACAGTCCTGAAATGCAGGAT